CTAGGAGCAGTGGGCAGCCGCAGTGCAGCGTCTGGTGACCAACTCCAGCTCTTTTGCCAATGCCAGTGGTCAGGGTCACTGACAGGAGTGTTATATGTTATACATAGCCTACATATATTTAATTTTATAATTATTTATATGTCTCTATGTATATTTTTACATAAATCCCCAATATTTTATTTGACTTTAAAAAAATCCTCTTCCTTCATTTAATTTGACAATGTTTATTGTATTGTATTATATGTATTAATTCTCTATAGGATCTTGTATGTTCTTTAATGTGTGTTCAATTTATTAAAAGAAAAAAAACCCTGCAGCAAAGTGAGCCCTCTTCTTCAGAGAGGATCTTTGCCTCCCAGTTTGTTCCTGGCGGCAGAGCAGAGTGAACCGTCTTCCTTCTCAGAGGATCTTTGTCCCATGAGAGCAGACACAAACGGCCGTTCTCCGTGTCCGCATTTAAAACAACTTTCGCTGGAGATTTGACAGTCACTAGAAGCACATTATGACCCTTTGTAAAAGTTTCTGTGTGGTACCTGTGTTGTGCATGAGCTAACATTAGCGGCTAAGGACTGAGAGGCTGTTCGGTATGTGTGTGTGTCCGAGTCGGTGCTGCTTGCCCGATCAGGCATGTCTGCGCAGGGTCTGCTGGCCGCCGGCTATTTTTACTCGCCCCGGGCATTCGGGCAACCGTTAATGTCGGACCCTGCAGTTGGAAAAGATGAGCACCAACTGAACGAGCATCCTGCTAGCCAGTGCGCAGGCATTGGAAAATAAACTGGATGACCTCCATCAGTTACCAGCCGGATATCAGGAACTGTAATCCTTTGACGGAAACTTGGCTAAATCCTGGCGGCAGCCGTTCAACCAAGAGGCTCTTTTTCTATATGCCGATCCAACAGAGCAAAGGACTCTGGCGAAAGAAGGAGCTGAGTGCCTTATGGTGAATGACGGTGGGAATGTGAGATGCTGTCCTGTTCCTGCTGTGGCTCACTGCTGTATGCCGTTCAGAAGTGGCTGTAGTGCGGCGCTGCCTGTGCTGGGGAGAAGCGAGCATACGGACGTCTTGTTGAGGTCAGAAAGTGTGGACAGTTAAATCATCAACAAGAGACCATGGATAACCAATACCTTCCGGAAACATGGACAATAATAAAGCAAGACGAGAAAAAAACACTAAATCACAGTGCACAAGTTAAAGGAGCTGATGGATTAATTAATGATTGATTAATTGACTGATTGATAGTACAGTTCAGTCAATTAGAGAATTGATAAGCTAATATAAGTGTGCTCTACCTGAACTAACTACACGCCCCATATAATAAACTTTGGCATCTGTGTTCTGACACACAAAATATTCGATTACTATGCCACTTTTTCTCCTCCTAATTCAAGAACTGTTGACAAGCTTGCATGGAGCACCTTCTTTTCCACTTCCAGCTACATGTGGATGAGAGTGTTATATCTAACACTTTCACCTATGAGCTCTGCTATTCTGCAGAAAAATGTCACCTATGATGAATTATCAGATGTTTACTATTATGATCAACAATACAGTTTCCTCGACAACCACTCAGGGACCCAGCTCGGGATTCTGGGCTCAAGGACAAGATAGGCCCAAAAGCCTGTGGAGTCATGAGACACCATTATTAATCTGGACTTTTTAGGCCTGCTTCCAGCTTGAGGCCCGCCTGCATCACTGCTCCAGTTTCTCCCTGCCTGTCTCCAGCTCTGTCACTCATCATCATAACGCGGATGATGCTATCAGACAAATGTCAAAACTCTGACAGCTGTCCCAATAGATAAAAAAAACTATAGTTGTGTCAATTTTACAGGCACTTTCGTCACTGATCTGACGTCTTCTTCAGCAGTAAGATGAATTCCTGTGCAGCCCCGAACTTCCCAAGTCTCCATGTTCGCCTCATCTTCTTCTGCGCAAAAATATGAGAAGAAACAGATATCGCACTGCGAGCGCCAGGACAGTGAGTGCACGCTGCTTAAGTGCTATCTTGGCTTTGGAAATTGTGGTTTAGGAGGATTATTTGGACAGAAAGAGAGAGAGAGCGGGAGTGAGAAAGACACAGACACAGAGAGTAAGAGGCATACAGAACACACACACACGTACACGAAGCCAGTGAGCCAGACATTATCTGTGACTTGTCCACTGAAATAGCTGTAGATTGAGTTCCTGTGACAAGTTTTCAGCAGCCAAGATGGTCCCATTTAGTGGCAACGCTGCTTCTCATTCTTTACAGTACTGGGTATATCTGACTGCAGCTATAGTTACACGCAGCCTGAGTGGGCACAAGGATCAGGCCAATCTTATAACAGCCAAAGAATGAAAAATATTTTATTCTTTTATACTCCAAATCACTGCAATCTCTCAAAATGCTTTGTTGGCAGCTGGAGGGAATTTAAATTAAAAGGTTCATTTCCACAAAAATACCCTCAATCATTTTCTAAGAGAAAGGTCTCACTTTTGTTCAGATGATTGATATCTCATTTTGGAACAAATCTTATTAATATTATCTCTCCGCGGTTATTTGTTCTGCTTAAGCAAAGGCTCAGAGTGTCTCAATTTTTCGGTTTCCAAAATGTCAACAAGCCAAGAAGATATGTACTTTGTCCTCTGTCCACTCTGTGAAGCAGACCTATAAAACTCCTCGTCCTTTGAAGGTGCTGTGGAGTTGAACATGATGGTCACCTTCCTCTTTCTGACTGTCTTTAAAGTTCCACTGCAAACAGGGCGCTGTATGCCATGGGACATGTTTAAAGGGAAGACGCAGCAGAAACTCCTTTTTGTTTGCCTTTTGCCATCTGATTACACACAAACACTTCACTTCAAAGACTAGATGGGTTTAACAAGAGTAGTCACCATGTAGAAACACGTGACATCTACTCTAACAAAGTGCTTAATCAGAAAGGCAACTTTTACTGCTTTATTCAAAAGGGAAAATGGTCTTTAAACAATTCTGCACTGTTCATTAAAAAGTAGAACCTGATAAATTATAGCTTATCGATCCTCTGCACCCTTGCATCAATGTACTGCCCTATGTTTTGGGATGATGACATTTCCTTCATGCTGCCACATGAGGGCGTGTTGTTGGTGATGCACCAGTAGGACATATGAGCTGAAAGAGCAGTGTCTCATCAACTGACTATCTGAAGCATTTCAGCAAGCACTAGAAAACAGCGGCAGTGCTGTGGTGAACTCAAACTTTAAGAACTGCAACGAAGCAGAGACATGTACCATCAGGCGATACATACATTCAAAGTTTCTTGTTCCACATATTCATCAAAGTCTTCTATAGTCATCTTGAGCTGCAACTAACAGTTACCATCTTATGATGTGGTGATTGTTTTCTCGAGTCATCGATTCAGCGCTTTGTCTATAGTGTCAGGAAGAGTTAAAAATGCACATAATTTCCCAAAGTCCAATGTGACTCATTGAACAATTCACATATATTCAGTTTACTACCACATAAGACAAAGAAAAGTATCAAATTATTACATTTGACAAGACTGTCAACTTGACTTGGACTTAAACCTTTTGACTTGAATATACTTGACACCAGCAAGTCATCATTCTTCAACATTCCAGCAAGTCGAATCCCCAGATGATCTATGCAAGTTTGAACCAACTCAAGAGCAACCAATCAAGTTGCATGAGAGAGCCATGAAAAACTAACGTTACACTACTGAGCAGGGGCGTGAATACAGACTGTGCAGGCAGGGCAGGTGCACTGGAGCCCGTGGGCTGAGGGGGCCCATAGAGAGAGTGGGCCCTCCAACTGTATGTTAGGCAGAGAACAGGTCCTTGCAAGTAATTTAGATTGCTACCTTAGAAATATGCCTCTGTTCAAAGAGAAACTATTTAATATATATGCCTTTGAAAGGACAAACCCATCTCAATTATGTTTTTCTTTTCTTTTTTGTGAATACGCAGCAGCAATCTATAACAAAATATGTCATTGAATATGTGTTTACATAAACTATAAATAAACTATAAAAAACAATACAATTGAATGAATAATCCCTTATTTCCGTTGGTATTTTTGTGATATATATGTGATGGTGATTTCTGGGTAATATGTATGTTGGTGTTATCCAATGTTAAGTCTCTATTTGATGGTCGCTAGTTAAAGTACATAACTAGTAACTAGCGCACCTTAAGGCCCATCATAATACCATGCACTGGGGCCCGTTCTAACTACCTTACGCCTCTGCTACTGAGCAGCAGTTAGGAAAATGATACCAAGGATAATTTTGTATGTGTACAAAAACTATGTGGTGGTCAAAAAAAAAAAAAAAAAATTAAAAAATGAATTGCAGTATGCAAAATGCATGGGTCACAAATTACAGATGTAGATGTATCAACTTCCAACTGTGTATGACATTGGAAATTTCACAGAGAGCAGTAAATCAAGGCCAATATTAACAGAGTTGGCGTGTTAATGCTTAGCTAATGTTAGCTTAACAGCAACTTTTTAACAGGCTTGTAACAAACAAAAAATTTAAAAAAGAATTCATGATTTTTGTAAATTTAACATATTATTCTGTTGTTACAGTGGCATTACATTTGGTGAAGCGTGCATCATGAAATGTGTATGACTAAAACTCAAAATTAAGGACTCGAGACTTGACTAAGAACTAAAATAGTAATATTCATATCTATGTTTTCATTAGTTTATAGTGCCCTGAAATCAGCTCTATAAAGGGCCATTAGCATTTTTGCGTTGGCCACTATAGTCCAATACACCTAGCACTTAGGGTAGAAGTTTCAGTTCTGCAACCTTACCACTAGGTGGCACTAAATCCTGCACACTAGACCTTTAACCTGGGACTTGATTCAGGACTTGCCTGTCTTGACTTGTGAGTTACGTGCAACAACTTGAGACTTACATGTGACTTGCAAAAAAATAACCTGGTCCCACCTATGATGTATTAGACAAGAATGGGGATGAATTAATTACATTTGACAATACAATGGAGAAAAGTTGGCCTTTTTTAATTGTTATGGAAATTTAATTCCACATGTAAAATTCATTGAGATGAATTTTGGGTGGCATGATGGCATAAATGTATGCAGAGGATCACAGGTTCAGTTTCATTACAGTCTTCCCCTTTCAGTCAGTCAGCAAAAATAGAAAAAAAATGTGAATGGAAATGTTGACAATACAGATACAACTTTACAACTTCACAACTTTGGGCATCAAAAAGAAAATGAGAGAGACAAAGGGTTGGTTGGGGGGTGGGAGGTGTGTTGGGGGTGGGGATACGGCGGGATGCGGGGTGCAGACTCATCCCGGGGGCTGGTGCACCGGGAGAGGCCACTGTCTCCCACCCTTCCAATGCCACAACGGTCTCACTTTTGGAGAAGTGAGCTGCACGTATCGGACACCCGGAACCCCCATCTGTCCCCACCCTCTCTCTCTTTTTTTTCCACCCAGTCCTCTATCAGTCCAGGTGGCAGAGCGCACTTCGGCCGTGGGATGCAGCCTCTCATCTCCAACACATGGACAGCGGAGCTTGGAGCTGCCGCAGCGCGCCACGGCTCCACTAGCTGAAGACACCACCTCTCAAAAGCAGGGGAAGAAGACACGACACTCCCGCGTTTAACTCGCGGACTTCAGATTTAAAGGATATACTTTCTTCCCACGTCTTTTTTCCTCCTTATCTTTTCAACCCGCAGGAGAGCAGAACCAGTTGTGTTCAATGCGCAACCATGCTCATCATCTCGTCCCGCAGTGCGCTGCTGTCCGTCTACTACCCACAGATCTTCCTCATCCTCACCAGCGGTAGCTACCTGTAGGTTTCTTTTCAATGCACTTGCTTCATTCAAACACTAGTTGATGTGTAGTTATTCCCTTACGCGCAAATTGGCCAATTACGCACGGGGAAATTTGATAGTAAAGTTAGATCGCACCTTGAGAGCATTGGCTGGTTGTTGCAGGTGTGAGGAAACGTGATTTTTACACTTCAAAAGTCACTTTTTAACGCTGCTAAATTAACTAAATAGTCATATTTAGTTCTCATGTGGCAGAGAGTTTATTTTAGAAATGGAAAAAATGTAACTTGGACTATCCAGTCAACCAAAATTTAGAAAACATTGGTAGGAAATGCTTGTGCTGTTTAATCATTTTCATTTTCTTCCACTATGGAATCACAGACCACCACGACTTTTTTTTCTCCTCATAAAATGAGCAGTTATGTCATTTTCATTCACATATTCTCCCATAAATCGACTTAGGAGTGAATGAAGCCAATGTTTAATCTACCTGATTTTTCAACTGATGAAATAACCTGCTCTTATGGATTTACACATTATGCCAGAACCACTCTGTCATAGGAGCACCTCATCAGACAAGGGCCGTAATTGGAAAGGAGCATATGGAAAAGAGACATATCGGACTACTTGGTGCTCATGCCTGTAGGCAGCGGGGCCTGTGTAATGAGCTCTTTCTTATGGCATTAAAAGACCCAGGCCCTCTCAAAGTGAATGATTGCTGCACCATACATGCCTCTCATTCATAACAAGGGCAGGTCCTGAAACTTAAAATAGCTGTGGTGGTTCATGTTTTCGGTAACACAGGGAAAGAGACAGAGGCGGACAGAAAATGAAATGGATTTGGATCCATTCCTATAATTAACTATTGTTCTCTTTCATGAAGGTCCATTGAACATGATGTGATCTGGGAAAGGATGAATGTTGCATTTTGCTCTTATTTTCTCATTTATCTTTATGATGCAGAGACAGGAAACTAATCAGAAGTTGAGCATAAAATGCCACTTTTTGTCCAATCATACCCAGGCGATGTTCAACCATGGCATAGAGTTCAATCCAATCTATATGTTGAGTATGTTTTCAGGCACATTTTTGCTTCTCCATTTCTTCTTCTCTGTCTTGAACATTCTCTCATATTTCCTTGTTTCTCTGCCCAGGGCGCTGTCCTCGGTGGTGGCTCTAGGTGCTAACATCATCTGCAACAAGATACCAGGGCTGGCCCCCCGTCAGAGGGCCCTCTGTCAGAGTCGCCCCGACGCCATCATCGTCATCGGCGAGGGCGCCCAGCTGGGCATCAATGAGTGTCAGTACCAGTTCCGCTACGGCCGGTGGAATTGCTCGGCCCTGGGAGAGAGGACTGTCTTCGGACAAGAGCTGAGAGTAGGTCAGTCTGTTTAAAACTCAGCTTCCTTCACTTGTCTTGAATATATTTATGTCAATATAGACAACAGGAAATAGAGGGATAGAAAGTTGCTCAGAGGACAGGGGTCTTAAATACGGGTTTTCTGTTTGCCTTCATAGGAGATTTAACAGTAGAGAGATGACAGGAAAAGCGGAGGGAGTCATGGGAAATTGACAAGCAACAAAGGTCCTCAGCTGGACAACTCTCTGGAGCTTTGTGGTTCATGGTCGGCGCTTTAAACCCAAGGGGCGAAAAAATGTATTTTTACCTCTGTTAAACTCAAGCTAAAGCAAATCCCTGCACTGCATATATTTACATTTTCACAACAGTCTGTTAGACAAGTGGAAATCTTAGCTTTGAGGCACGAGTGTGGACTGAAGTGTGATCAGGGCGACACATCCCCGGTCTTGACCCCCCTTAAGGGTTGCCAAAGCTTCATGGGGGGTCGCGAGGCTTTCTTGATTCAAGAAAACTCTACAGTAGGCCCATAACTCAGCATTTCATTCATTTATTTTTAAAGTTTAGATTATTATTCAAGATATAAACTTAAGGCATAAGGACAAAGGTAAGAGCACTGTGAAGACCTGAACACAAGCTATACTCACAGAGCCTTCACGATCTGCTAAACAGCCTCATTCTGCATTAGAAAAGTAAAAATTAAAACAACCGAAAAGCTAAAACAACAATGGCCAAGTGTCAAGGAGAAAGAAATAGACTTTGTCCAAAAAAAAAAGCCTTTTAATATGTATGACATCAGGAAACATTAGTCTCTGATGCAACATTCACAGAAAATGATCTGCTCAAAATTTCTCCAAATCTAAACACACATTTCCCACAGTTATTGCATTATTATTTGGGGTAATTTTAGAGTTTATCAGCTGTTCTGTACTGTTATTCATATTCATTGAATTTGCCAAGAAAAATCTATGTCACTTAGTCAGGAGTTGTCAGTTTACTGAATGGCAGAAAATGGGTCCCTTGAGGAAAAAGGTTGGGAACCACTGCTTAAGATGTCAACCAGTATGTAAGTTGGCTTAACCAAACCAAACTGAGACATGTGGAAGGATTTTTACAATCACTGATGCTGAAAGAACTTTTCTGTGTCTCTGTGGATGAGCACAGTTCAGCTCTGTGGTTTGACATCAGCCTGTTTTCTCATTGCATTGTCCCCGAACCCTCCTTTAAGTGTTGTCAGTGGCATGAGAAAAAGCTGCAGTGAGCTCAGCTGAGTGGCACAAAAGAGACTTAAAGATGGGTGGCGAAACTTTAATGAAAGCATTTCTGCTTGGGCTACCACATGCAACGACGACCACAATAAATCCTCTGCCTCGTTCAGATGCTAACAAAAAAAAACTCAAAGGCCTTGCTAGTGTCCCCAGCAGAGATTCAATCTGCAGCTCATGTGTGTGACATCACCGTGCTTGCAACACATATTGTCAAAGGCAGAGCAGACGTAAATGGAGTGTGGAGACTTCCTTATAAAGCAGGGGTCCATGCCTATCTGGGTGTGCCATCTTCTGAACGCATTTATACATCAAACCTACAGTATACGATCCGTCAACACAAACTAACACATCTCCCTGGTTTTAGTCAACATTCTTCCCAGTTTTATTTCTCACAGAAGCTCCTAATGTGAACCTCTTATATAAATTGTATTTCAGCCCGAAATGTTTTGTTGCGGTCTTGCTGTGGGTTTGGATCCATGTTTAATCTAGCAGCTCTGGGAGCAATCACTTTCTTCTACACGGGAGACAGGCAGACAGACGTCTGGATCCCTTTATTTCTTTTGTCAGAGGAAATGTCTCTTTTCTCTTGTGGTGTGTAAACGAGCTTGGAGAGACGCTTTGGACCCAGCTCAGGTCCTCATGTCCGCTTTATGCAGACAATTTGACCAAATAAGTACTTTGTAAAAGACTTAATCTTATTACATCTGTATAAAAAATAATTACTGTTAATTACTGTAAAATAACATATTCTGAGTGGGTCAGATTTCCTTTCCTTCACAGATTCTCACTAACACTGGTTTCCTTTTGCAGTCTTCATGCCCATTTTTGCTATTTTTAAAAATAGAAATGTAAGCCAGAGCCATACCCCCCTCTTGTGTCGCTAATGTACCATCCACCACTTCATTTGATTGACCTGCCGGGCCTGTGAACTCATTAAGCATTGAGAAAGACCAGAAAGATTCATGCTAACCACTAATTGAAGTCAGCTCCAGCAGCTGGATGGCAACAATGGAGCCGTGCATGCACCACCGTACAATCAAAACAAATCACAGTGCGAGGAGATGGCTGTTTGGCTATTGCATGTGCCTGATGCCTTGAGAAATGCTCACCATACAATATATCTGAATGGGTCGCGGATTTAGCCTGATGAGAGAAGACTTCAGAGTTTGTTATGAGTTATGGAGCGGGGGAACCGCAGACCCGATGGTTTCTGCGAGTGAGTTTGTCAGTTTGGAAGGGAGCCATTAGAATCGCCTCTACCAGAGACGCCACGCATTAATACTCTGGGCTGTTGGGAAGAACAGGGGCCCAGCATTATTCTGATTGGCGAGGGAGGATATCTTATTACCAATTGTAGTGCCAATAAATTCATTTCCCCGCTCCACGCCATAAATATAAAATGTGTTTATTCTGAAGTTCAAATGGTGACATACAAAAGCTTGGAAATGGGCACATCTCAGTCAAGCCTGGCCGCAGATTATTTCAACATGCAACACAGCGGTATCATTTGCTAGAATAATGTGGACCGCCTAAGACAGACATAGAATGACACTTAAGCCGCGTGAGAAATTCCAGTGATGAAAAACATTAAGACGCAGCAGCTCTATGAGTGCCGATCCAGAAAGAAGCTCCTCTGGTCAGCCAGTAGATGTCACTTGTGTTGTCTTTATTAAAATGATTACTGTCCTAACACTGCTGTAGTGATATAACACAAGGCAGAAAGAAAACTGAGTAATTATAACATTATATAATGTATTATTCTCTTTGTAGTGATGCCTGTCAAAGTCAACTGATGTCTCGCCCTTTAATCTGCCTCATACGGTATTAAAAAAGTGCTGATACTTGACATATTAATGAATGTAGGGTAAGTAAGGTTACGTACTCCACAGTAGCCATTATGAAAACTACTCTTAGTAACAGGTATTTAGTTACACAGTTACATATACATCAAAAACAGCTATCTGTGACATCCCCCCCGGAGTGTTTCTATTGCTAGAATCTACCACAGCTGAACAGAAACATCCAATCGGAGCCAAGGAGTCATAAACGCAGCTGTCAATCATGTCAATCACTGCTTGTGAACTGCAATCAAACTTTTAAACTACGTAGTGCTGATCAAATATGAACAAAGATTGTTTTACTTCAGATCTTAGTTCCCACTTCTCATGTTTATGGAAACATATTTTTGTGTACTGTTTACTATCAGTTTTGGCTGACTGAGGGACGGTGCTAGGTATACAATTTAATTGTATCCAACATGGCGACCAGGTCACAAACGTTCTCATTTTACAGCAAAACAGTACACTAAAAACTGTTTCTGTAAACATTAAGGAAGAGAAATACGCAATGCAGTCACAGAATCTTGATTCATATTTGATCAGCGCTGCCTAGTTTGACAGTTTGACCGCAGTTCAAAAGCCGTGGTTGACGTGATTGACAACTGCGTTAGAGACTCTTCGGCTCTGATTGGTTGTTTTTTATTCAGGTGTGGTAACACCACTGGAAGCATTACGCAGAGGCAGATCAACATCTTTTTTCCCACAGATTATCTGTCTCATGTAGGACTGTGTGGATATAGTGACAGTTTCAGCAAATACAACAAGAAGTCGTCTTTCAAAAAAGTTACCAAGTGTATCTTTAAAGAAGTATCCAGCAACTTAGTGTTGCACTTCAATAAATTTGAGGACTGATAGTACAGAAGCAGACAGGAAACAAGGGAAGGAAGAGAGACATGACATGCAAGACATGTTCTTTGGACTTTGGGGATGTGTACAGCTTGTACTACATTGACATCTCTCTATACCTCCTATTGGTTTCGTTGCATGGGTTTGGGTAGAAAAAAATTGCAACTTCATCATTTTTTATTGGTTCATGAAGTTTAGTGACCTCATGTAGTTACAGAATGTCCAGGTCTGTCCAAGCCAGATTATGTGTAAAACCCATGTGGCCTTTTAAAAGAGAACAGTAAAAATGGATACAACAGAAGCCGAGTTAGTCTCAGGTTTAGTCTCTAGTACGGGTCAAGCTCCACGGAAGCTGGATCTTACATTTACCCATGGCGAAACTCATTTACCCCCAGGACTTCTAAATGTCCACTTCTTTCAAACGCCACACTCCCAGTTTGTAACACAGGCTTTCTGCTGAAAATCTTCTCAGGTCCAAGTTGAAATAAGTATGATGACATCATCAGGATTGTTTTACAGAAGATATAAGAAAACTGTTTTTGTGGATTGAGTAGTACTTAAGCAGTAAGTAAGCTGCAATTCATGTGTAAAATTGGTGCAGTGTTCCTTTAATTTAACACCTTCCTTTATGAAGGTACAGTCAAACAAACCTAACTCCTCCTGTTTCTGCCAAAACAGCAAAACTGCATGATGGGCAGGCATTTCATGCCTTTCTGAAGAAAATACTGCACGTACTCATTTCAGAATGTCTATATAAAAAGCACATGGAAAACCTACTCAATTTAAATGAGTGTACTTGTATTACTACTTTCTTCTCTGCCTCAAATTTATTCAGATTCTGCTCTTTTCTCCTCAGGCAGCAGGGAGGCAGCATTCACTTACGCCATCACAGCAGCTGGAGTTGCCCACGCAGTGACCACAGCTTGTAGCCAAGGCAACCTCAGCCAGTGCGGCTGTGACCGCGAGAAGCAGGGCTATCACGACCAGGAAGAGGGCTGGAAGTGGGGAGGCTGCTCGGCCGATGTTAAGTACGGCGTGGAGTTCTCGCGGCGCTTTGTAGATGCCCGTGAGATCAAGAAAAACGCCCGGCGGCTGATGAACCTGCACAACAATGAGGCAGGGCGAAAGGTAACGTGATCAAAGGGACGAAACAAATGATATCCATCCAATCTTTTTTGGGTTTCAATGATGAACACATCATACAACAAAATACTATATGTAGGAATATGTAGGAAGAAGAAAATGCCTAAATTGGCATAGGTTGTCCATGACTCTGAAACATGACTAACAGTAATTTGTTGTGTATTTGCATCAGTTACAATAACTATATCAGCCCCTTCACTGTAAAGGTGCAGATGATTTAACAGCTCCTGTACACTGGATTGTGAGTGTGTATGTGTGACAGAAATGTAAAACTTGGCAGATGCAGATGCCAAAATGGAGCTGTGCCACAGCCCTTCTGTCCATTCACTGAATTACTCGGTATTAAGTGAGGATAGAGGATATTATTGCAAGTCTCTGTCTCTTCCTTTCTCAGTGGTAAAACCATAGACCGTGCTTCCGCACCGCACCACACACTGAAGCAACCAAAGTCAAGAGCAAACTCCCCCAGAATATGAAGGGGAAGACGGAGTCAATGATTTGACCAGTGCTCTGGACACACAAGTTACTAGATGTTCTAGTTGCTCAATAATCAGTCTTACAGTACAATGAAAATGTGAAGGTAATCTTTTTCACATTAGCTCAGTCACAAGGGCAAACAGTCACCTGTCAATTTTGTCATCTTAAAATATTTGTATGGCATTATAATATAAATCTGGCTCAAACCACAATGTAACTCTATATGTGTATGGTTGCACAACAGCTCTGGTCAGTTTTCTCGGGCTGTCACGCCATTATGTGGTCTGAAGAAAGGTAAAGTTAATTAGAGACTACGGTCTCAGGGTACGAGTTATTTTCCCCAGGTTTTTGACATAAAGTTGGCATACCGGTTGGAGTGCTGAAAGTTGAAGTGTCCGCAGAAAGCCCAGCTTACCAAAAGAGAAGTATCTGTAGGCTATGCAATGGCTATTAACCAGCACTGTACTGAATCTTTTTGTTTTTTACATTCAAAGCTCCTATTGAGGCTTTCAAATGAAACTTCAAATGCCCGTTGTCATACTTATGGCGTAAACACCCTTAAAAAGAAATCCTCAAATAAAATTCTGTTAAATTCTCTGATTAAATATTAATTAAATCAACGTTCTTTAATGAATACATTTAATTTATGGTGCTGTTACACTGCTACTAACCACCCCACTAATACAGGTTCATGTCTCTTCATGTGCAGCAAGCAGGAGAGCAAACACTGTTTTGACCACAGTAAAAATGATGTTTTAAAAGGCTTCATTACTTAAAAACGTGAAATTTGAAAATGATTACATCTATATTTTCTTCCGATAAATGTTGACTGTTGGACCTTATCACTCTTGAGCAGGGGTGCTCAAAGTTTTGCTGACTGAGCGTCAATTTAGGGAGCCAGCAAAGGCAACGTGCAGATACAAGTTGTCTACCAATATCACTGTCCATTGCTAACAGCACAAGCATTGATGACATAATTCGTGTGACATTCGTGGGGTGTCACTAGTTGCCATGCAGTCTGTAGCTTTTTACTTGTCATTTCTAACTTGTGGGATGCTCACAAGGGGGTGCAGTTTGAAGCAGTCGATGAGTAGTGTATTAAATGTAAGCTAGTAAAAATGAAAGTATTGAAATGGGCTGTGAATGATTAAAATATAATGTGTGCATTTAACGTCATGATCAGGGGGGTGCACAAAATGTTTCTGACAGCTGCCACAATCCTACATAACTATCACTTGAAGATTTTTTTAAGTAAGGTTGTATGGGGTACTTTTCCTCAGATAGTATATTACATACAGTAGATGTTGGCCCACCCCCAGTTTGGAGAAGCAGGCTGGAATCCGACATGGAAACTAGGCAATGTACTGCTGTGGATGGGGTCAGCAACAACATGTATTTTGGCCACCTAAAAAAGGCCCCCCCCCTAATATAAACCAGTCCCTGAACGTCAGACTGCAGTTTCCAAAAGGAAAATAAAGTCATTATATTTCTCTCTTCAAAGCCAGACTCCACTGTGAAAAACCACTGATTTAACATTGCTGACCTCCGAGGCTGTTGGTCTACTGCTGCTTGATCAGTGAATTAGTTTGTGTTGTCGTGTGACTTTGGGGTTTAAAAGGGTTTGTTCAATATCACCAGAGTCAAAAGTTAACACAAACTAACTTTCTGATCAAAGCACGGTTAGATCAGCAGCTCCCGTGTTCAGGGAGCTAAAGTTACTGTCTTTGTCAAAGGAGTCTGGTGGCTTTGACAAAAGCACAGATGGGGCAATGAAGCTGTATATCTAAATATAGTGTACACTTAACCTCATCTTGATATTTTTAGGTGGGATTCTTTAGGTGGCTAAAATACGTTTTCTACAGCAGTACATTGCTTAGCTTCCATGTCAGACTCAAGCCTGCTTCTCTAAACTGGGGGTGTATCAACTGACACCTTTTTGTATGTAATACACTTATTTTGGATAAGTGCCCTTTATAACCCCACTTCAAAAAATCCAAACTATCCCTTTAAACAGAATCAATAGAATTTTGATGTCAGAAGATTGAAGCTGCAGCCCTACACTGTTTTCAAATGTCCATTTCTGTATTAACCACACAGAATATATTTCCAGCTTGTAACTATCTCCTTTAATTCATACAGACCTAATTTCTACTCTCTGTGTGATCAGATCCTGGAGGAGAGGATGAAGCTGGAGTGCAAGTGTCATGGCGTGTCTGGCTCCTGCACCACTAAGACCTGCTGGATCACCCTACCAAAGTTCAGAGAGATTGGTTACCTGCTGAAGGAGCGCTACAGTGGAGCAGTTCAAGTAGAGCCAGTCCGAGCCTCGCGCCTCCGCCAGCCCTCCTTCCTACGACTCAAAGAGGCTCGAGGCTACCAGAAGCCCACGGAGACGGACCTGGTGTACCTGGAGCGTTCGCCCAACTACTGCGAGGAGGACACAGCCACGGGAAGCACGGGAACGCGAGGGAGACTTTGCAACGGCACCTCGATCCACACAGACAATTGTAATTTGATGTGCTGCGGCCGGGGTTACAACACGCACCACTACACGCGCATCTGGCAGTGCAACTGCAAGTTCCACTGGTGCTGTTTTGTCAAGTGCAACACATGCAGTGAGAAATCAGAAGTTTTTACCTGCAAGTAGGGAATGAGGAAGTGCGGCACAGTAAGTTGGGGAGAGGCTGGGGAAAACGGACAGTGGTTGAAGGTAATGACAAAGTGGAATTTGAAGTGAAGGACTTGGAAGTATTTATTCAACAATTTGCACATTTTTACATCCTATTTTGGAATTCTTCAAAGAGAGAAAAAAACAGACATGAGGTTTGGAGAGTAATGAGAAAAAAGAGACATTAGTGATTACAAAAACTTCCCTTCGTTTGCTCGCTGGTAGAAAACTATGACATGGTGCAAACACATCGCAGGTGAGAGGATTTGATGTTCTTGTTTGCGTCCAGCAAAGCAATATTTGGAAGACAACAGCTTGCAAAGATGCCAACAGATGTCACACATGAGAGGAAGAACAATAAGAACTATTGTTGGATCTTGAGAAGACTTTTGTAACACGCTAACTGGAAAACAGCAAAGCGCCTCAGACTGCCATGACGGAAGACTCCTGATGAAGATGGAAAGATGGCAGTGGAATACTTTTAACTGTACGCTCACACTGTATTCTGTTTGAACACTGAAAATAAAACAAAGTTATTTATGTAAAGAAATATCTTTCAAACCTAGTCTTAAGGATGGATAGCTAACATTTTTCCTCTCTATTATGACCTTCAATTGCTACTGATACATTTCAAGCTAGGAGTAACTAATTTCTAGTCACATTTACAACCACTAAACAGCTAAGCTCTGTTTCATTTCATCTGTATCCATTATCGGTGGTCAGTGGCGTACTTCACTATAGATTAGTTATTTTTCTTTTGCACTCACATGATCACATTTCTTTCTCTTTTCATGGGACATCAGTAAGTTGTGCTGTCGAGTGCTGTGCTGATATCTCTCTCATGGACAAATCCCCCCCCCTCGAACCAAGACCCTTTGTTACGCCGAGAGCCAAAGAGGGTGAAAATACTCCCAAGCTATTTTAAGCATCCAACTTGTCAGTTTGAACGGCACTTTTCATCCCGACCATGTTCATTGTTGTGTTTTCGGGGGGCTCTTGACTTCTGAGAAAAGCATGCAAGCCTCATTGGAACTCCATAGAGGTGCAATCAGGTTCAGATACATCCAACATTCCCATGAACGGCAGACGTGGAATTCCACGATGGCCTCTGCTTACACAAGGCCTTCCAGCGCGGTTTAGGCCTGCCTGGGTGGATGGCATGCTCTCTAACCACACAGAGGGGGTATGAGAGGATCAAAGCTATTTTTGGACAGCACCCTTAATGTATTCAGAAATGTTTATTTAGGCTTTATATAACTTACAAAACAATTTGAAGAGTATATTTTTATATGAGGAACGTGGCACTTTATGTCATTTATAGATGGAAAAGAAAGTCACTATTTACAAGTGTTTTCTAATGTCATTGTATTCAGATTTGAGAGCTATAAATTATTTGGAATTTATGTTTTTTTTTTTGATCAGAGTTCCTAAATTGTAAATACTCCACGTGTTTTTATCAAAGTAGCCCAGATTGTCCATCTCCATACGATCCTTCACAATTCAACGTAGCTCATGAAAGCCAAGTGATTCATCAAGTGTTGGAAAGTCCAGGAAATTTTGTGCAAACCACTGTTAAGTATTTGAGCACACGCATGGAACTGCGAGTAAGTAATCGATCAACTAGTTGTGCAGCTTTAGACTGAAGAGATTTCTGTGTTTCCAGTTGTGTTCATGGCCCTTTCAGGAACTAGGAACAACTCAGTGCTGCTTCCTAAAACATAGTTGTAACTTCAAACACAGCTAATTTAGGTTTATCTGTTCTGTGGCAAAACCAACATCTGGATCACTTACAAACATGAACAGTTGTATTTTTTTCTTTTTTTACCAATAAAATTTGAGCATCTTTTTAACGCCTCTTGGGTTTTATGTCACATCTGGCCTTTATAGACCATCACTGTGACATTGCACTAACAACAACAATCACCTCTGGGTAGACAACTGGCAACTAACTGGGATTGCGGTGACGTGGAATCAGCAAACTTGATTATTTCTGTTTTATTTTCAGCCATAACTGCAACATTTAAAAACATATAGTTAAACACAGTGGTCAGACCTATCTGGCATTTCTGCTGTGCTTGCTTCGCTATCGTCTTTGATAAACCAAATCTCCTGGTACAGAAGCTAAACAATGCACTGCTGTAGACGAGGGTTGCAGCAAATGTATTTAAGATACCTAAAAAAATCAACATCAGTTTAGGTGTACGCTATATAAATATATGGAATATTGTGACTGCTTTATCCTACACACTAACTGAAGGGGGGAGAGAGTACATTTTATGTATGTGACGTTGGGTTTTCTACCCAGAAGTTACTGTAAACAATCACCGTGACTTGGTCTATTGGCCTTATTAAAATCATTACAAAAAAAGCTGTTTGTCACACACAATATTTTATTAAGCATTATATGAACATTATTTGACCCAAACATGTAGCATATAATTTACACCCTGACAATGTTTTTTTTGCTGAAGGCGAATATCAAACAAGAAGGCACAGATACAATACAGTAGAGGCCTGTAGTTTAAAATGCTGATATGGGAAACACAAGAACTCCTGGCCTTGACTGATGTGGTACTAATGTGTTAGGAGGTGAACAGGCGGCCGCGGCCATGCCACCTAATTCAGCCCGGCTGACTTGCACAGCCTCTTTCCTGTGGGGCTGAAAAGCATTGCAGCCAGCCAGTCGAGCGCAAGTAACAGCTGTTTTGTTAGCTGTCTGAAATCCTGGGGACCGGAACCGCATAAGCTCCCTTTACTATGCCGGCGGATTGAGGGGAGAGTCCAGCCGATTGTTTCAATACATTTTGTCATTAAAAATCAGAGGCAGTGCAAACAGGGTGGAGCAGGGTGTGGGCAGGCCAGTAAAGCGCTGCATTGTTGAGGTGTCAGGACTGTTCAGCTTATCCAGCAATGGGAGGAGCAGGGAGGGATGTCATTCTGCAAACTAATGCTTATGGTCTGATTCACTCACTCACTCACTCATTAATTCATTCACTCACTCTCTATTCATACACTTTCAGCATGCATTCATCCATCGTCTACTCATCTAGAAGCACAAACTATTATCAAAAGAAGAAGCACATGCAAACACAAACACATAGCTACAGCTAAAAAGGAAGCACAGTATTTACTAAATCTTTAAGAAAGTCAAATTCAAGTCAAATACAGCAAAGAGAAGCAGTCTTAGGTGTAAAACTAAATGGTTAATGATCTATGATGCATGCCATCGGTCCCCATCCCTTATTTATCTACAGTACTATGCAATATGATGGAAAAAGAAGATCAAAAGGAAACTTCACGAGCAAAATAACCATTTTTACCTTGAATTTGTGAAGAACACGTTTTTCTCGCATGGTGAATGGGAAATCCAAAAAAGGCGGATATTTTTCATGAAATGCAACTTCTAAAAATGCATGTGTTTGGGAAGTACTAAGCATACGACTATGACCACATGACTTCGCTTATACTACATGAGTTGTGTGAGAGTTTGTAAACAGATGTTTTGATGTAATGTCGTTATTAAATGTGGACCCCATTCATGAAGAATGTTTGCCTTTTTTGGATTCTCCGTTCACTGTGGAGGCATGAAAGAAAAAAAGTTTCCTCACAAATTCAAGGTAACAAAGTGAGTAATTAATATGCAAATGGTCATTTTGCAGATGATTCATTCCTTTAAGAATAATAGCCAAAACACATGGGGCATGGACGCAGCCTGTCAAGAAGCTACACAGACTAGCTTTACTGTGTATGTATTTAGTTTTGCTAAGTGAAAATGCAGTTGGTTATAGAGGGTTTGGAAGCATATAGGCTATATCATCTGGTGCTTAATTAATTATCTGGATTGGTTTATCTACATGCATTGATTTGATTGATTTATTTTGATGTGAAATACACATTCACACGGTTGCATCATATTGCCTCTGGTACAATGAGGTATTTATTGTAATCATTTTACAACAGATTGTAGTTGGTTTTTTTTATACAGTTCTATGTAGTTTTTACCTGTTGGAGAGCTGCAAAGCCTTTTGTAAAGAAAAAAAAAAGATGCTGCATCCGTGCCCTATGTATTTTGGCCATAAGATGATGAGGATTAAGATAAAGAAGTTATAAGACTATGTTGAGTATGAAACTCCTTACTATTATAACCTTAAAACAAGAAGCAGAGATCCAGCAACAAAGCTCATGCTGTATACTGAGAGATGTTTTTGAATTACAAAACATGCATAGCGTCAGTTATTAGTTCCTTAGATTATATTAATAATATCATGCCTGTTTAGATAAAGTTTTTTTAAGTGTTTAATTGTCCCTCTGGCAACGACACCACCATTTAAGTAGGTATGGTGGTAAGGGGGTTGATTACATCATGTTTTGGTCATTCTCTGTTTCATAGTTACTGCAGAAGTCACTATGGGCCTGGGATTAAACCCCAACCCCTGCTGGTACCATCAGTGTCTGAGCAAAGTGAAAAGCCCGGACACTGTGGTGCTCTTTGTCTTTGGATTAAACCACAAAGCATCAGCTCTGCCAAAGGTACCAGCGTGTGCTTGCCTCTCCCAAACTCTTCATTTCCCAGACTCGGGTCAAGACAAAACAAGCGCTCCTGATGTCTTGACCTGTTTTTATACCAGGGGGACCCCATGGGCCTTTTGTGTTTCAACAATACCATGAGCCCCATCTGGGCATGAGTGCAAGCATTACTGAGGTAGGAAAGTAAATTATACATACCTCTCTTATAGAAATATCTAAATCTAAAGCGCTTTTCTATGTAGTCTATCGGCAGTGTGGCTGTCAGTTATTCTGGACAGGCACAAAATGTATGTGTTTAGTTATGAACAGGTAATTGACCTGCAGATGAAGCTAAAGCATTAAATAACATTAATCTAGCACAACAGCAGTACATGTTCACACAAGTATATACGTGTGCACATGTACTTTAATCCTTTCTAAATAAATACTTCACGTGAAAACCTGCTCACGGGTCAAAGGCCTCCTCTCTCCTGGCCGCTCCTCTAAGGTGTTCAAGAGTCTTTCCTCACAGTTTTCAGCAGCAAGCTTCCGTCTCGCTCCTCCACCAGGAAACCCAGCTCCCTCAGCGCAGAGTAGTCGGCACTGCCTTGGCGTTCCAGGGCGGCAATCTGCTCCTGGTTCTGCTTGTTGTGTTCTAGGAGGTTCCTGATGGCGAAGATGGCCCACTGGCTGATAACTGGAGGTATCCGGTTAGGGACAGTAACGTGATAATTTCAATTCTAGAGAATTAAACTATGGTTCTTTATGGTATTTTGAGCCTATATTTTAGACACACGAAATTCATAACCTTGAAAACATTTCATGTCATAATAGCAGTTTAGAGGACCACAAAAACAACACTAAATTCATACTTAATGCTAGACATGAGTGTATAGCAGTTGGAACACAAGATGCATTTACAACTTCATGAAAAAATGCATATGTAAAAAAAACTATCAAAAACAGACTGGTAGAGAACTTAACAGTGGTACGAGCAAAACAGGCAAAACATATTCAAAGTCCAACTCAGGATGTCAAATACCCAAGAGCCTGGTATTTTCCTCAGGTCACTGAGTACGCAGACAGCCAAACAAACAAACGAGTTTCGCAGACAAGTTATGTTTTGTGATACAAAACATTCTCAGCTCCCCCCTCTCAAGTTTCCCGCATAAATCAACAAACGTGTTTCTCTTTGACAGTCTTTTTCTCGACAGAAACAAATGCTGACACCTACATGAAAAAGGTGGATGGAGTGGGTTGTGCGTGCATGTGTGTGTGTAAGCATGTATGGGAAACGGGCACAAGGGACAAAGGCCAAGCTCAGACTATTGGCCTGGTTAAAAGACAATCTGGCACAATGCCCTCACTTTAGCCAGCTAATACCAACTGGCAGCAGGATGCCCAGCAGGGGCTGGAGATGAGAACAACTTATGGGGTGGAGCTCAGTGACCAGCAGTGGACTCCAAATAAAACAGTAATCGGCATGTTCTCAAAGCCTGTCGAACTTAACAATCAAATGAACAAGTTCTGTTTTTTTGACAAGAGAAAGGTACATTTGATCCAGAACACAATGCAGCCTTTAAATTGTTAACATCTGTATGACATTATTAAATGTCTATATTAGTTTGAGCAGTTTATGTTTGTACCGGTAGTCTCGTGTAACTTCATTTGTACAGTGCACCTTCCATTTTAAACACAACATGACGCTGCAGAATGTCAGTAAGTCAGCATCGATGAAGGTTTGCTGTTGGAGGGATTTAAGGCCCACTTCCACACCCTGCTAATTGGTTTGGGATGGCACTTAATGTGACAGGCCCTCTGTAAGAACCAAGGCTATTAAATGAAGGCTGAGACATAGTCTTTGACCACATTGGAGCTAAAGGGTATGAGCTGCGATGCTGGAGAGTTACAGCAGACGGGACTAGAAATAAAGGGATGGTGTCATTCAACTTTTTGGGTATGCTGGAATGGATCGAAGCCAATATACAATCAAACATTTTCAGGTAAAAAGAATTTGCTTATAGTGTTTTACTAAAGATTTGAACTGTCACCCATATCATTATTTTTCACGTAAAATATATTCCGACCCAAGTTTAACTGCAGATGCTTCCCCATGACAGTGCGCCAGCTTTTGAGATTTTCAGCAAGTTCAAACCTTTTACTTTAAACCTTTACTGCACATTTTACTGTTGTACACCAATGATATGAGGCAATATGACGCAGTCACTCTCCTCTTTTTAACTCTCTTGGCATTAACAAGTAAACAGAGTGGAATTAGGTAGGGAGTGTGTGTTGGGGGGGCTGGGAATGGGCCCAATGGTGCACATTTTGTAGCTCTCTGAGTCACTAGAATGTCAAAGGGCCCCACGCACAGTTGTTATTACTCTCGCCAGTCATGTTGGCAGTTGTGTTGGTGCAGCTGGAGATATCACTGTTGGCAGAATCCAACAAATTTCCTTCCAAATGGCAAAACGATGGACGGTCACGCAACACTTTGTCCAACTCATTGTAAAATAGGCAAATTATAAAGCATTAGCACGCTGTCACCAAAACAACCACCACATCCTGCACATTGGTGGTCATTCAAACTTGTATTTAATAGTGCATTTGTGATTTGATTGTCTCAACACATTTGAAAACCAAGTATAAACAAGGTCAGTTTGTCAGAGTTGTTAGTGATGTTGCACTGTATCCTACTGAGAGTTGTTTATAATATTCTGCCTCCC